CAAGCAGGGCTCTGCCTCCTCACCTCTGCCAGGCAACCTTTCCCTGATCCATATGTATCAAAACCCACTCTCCCTCCCATTTTAAACACTCCATAACATCCTGTGACATCAGCTAGTGTACTTAAAGTCTTGCAAAAATTAAAGTTTTGTTCTAGTCTGAAAGAGACTTTCATGCCATAACAGAGAATAACTTATAACCATCTGTCAAGCGTGAATTAGAGGTAGGTGATTACATTGAAGAGCAAGGTAATGGACTAAACCTCATTAGTTCTGAAGTGCTGCAGTAATGAGTGAGTAGAGACCTCCAGTTTTCCAGGGTCTCCATCCTGCTTCCAAACCTTACAAGAAAATTACCTCAGTAATTACTGAAGAGGTCTCTAACAAATTCTCCCATTTTTATTTTCACATTCACTATGACAAATAGTGTCATTAGAGCCCAGGGTAAATTGCACAGTTGAGTATTCCTTGAAACGGGAAATGAAAGCAGATCACCTTCCCCCAGAGCAGCTGTCCCACCACCAGCCTCCACAATGGCTGCTTCACAAAAGAAAGAGCTGTGAGTCTCCCTCTCTCTTCACTGGCCTGTAGAACATCTGGGAGCCAGTGCAAAACAAAAAAAGTCCCAAGAGCAACCCAGAAGCACAGAAGGACATACAGTCACAGAATAGCTTCTGGTTGCTCTAAGAATTAGAATTTGGACCTCTTTCTTCCTGGGTGCATGCAGGAGAAACAGTATCTTTTCCATAGCTTAAGCCAGCAGGTGAATTCCAAGAAATCAGCAAGTGAAACAGGTGGAAGACCTACAAATCCTAATAAAGACTAGGTTTAAACTGAACTGATAATGATCTTAAGAGATTCTCAAGAAAGGTCTTGAGTCCCTTTAGCCTTCCAGTTTCTCAAAACCAAAGTAGCATTTCAAAAAGTAGATATTCAATTTGGTCATCTATGGCAGCAATTCAGACAGTAAGTTTACTTGCTGTTTTCTCTTAGAAACTTAAGACAAAAAGCAGAGGATAAAGGGTCAGCAAAAGGAAAATTAGAGCTACCAACCTCTGCCTCTAACACAGCAGTAGTAAGGGGGCAGAAGAGAATTACATCTCCTAGGCAGTATTTTGAGGGACAGTCTGATGCAGTTCCACCATCAGCTCACACTAATACGAGAACAAAATGCTGCCTTAATAGGCATTCCCAACTTCTCCTACTACACCCCAGGAAACACACCACTCTTTTTTCTGACCCTTTTTATTACTCCAAAGCTACAGACTCACAGGTACAAAATTTTTCAATAAACAGTCCCTGAGCAGCCATGGCATTTCTAGCAAATCTTCATACATGGGAAAAAAGGTACAGCTGGAAGGTCATGATCCTATTTCTGAAAAGGCTTACAGAACAAAACCAAAAAAATGCCAATTTTGAGTAAGCAGGGCATCAAGTTAAAGACCTGCTAGTTACACAAGAACTATGTGATACCTCTTGATGGGTTAATGAAGTATTTTCTGTAACAGGAATAAAAAAGTAGGGGGAAAGGAAGTTACCCTGAACTAGAGAAACCCTCTCGTTAAGGAACCTCATCTGCACAAAGCCATATTTTAAAACAATCATTTAGAAATCAGGATAAGCTCTTTAGACAAGACTCAAAGAGGGAATTAGGCAGCACAACACACAAGCGTTATGTATTCTGACATACTTTGCAATTCAGCAAAGTACCCTGCCTCTCCATAAGATGAACCCTCATTTTCACCTGGGCTGCCTGGATGCATCAGGACAGACATTACTTCAGACACAAACATTAATGTAAATTTAAGCACCATGGGATTGCAGTTGTTCACAGGACTTCAGACAGACAATTTATTTTGGGGGCAATATGCCACAAATAAAAACAGATTTCCCACTGCTCAAGAAAAAGCAGATCTGGCAAACAAATGTCTTGATCTTGAGATGTTACTCTCCTGTCTGAAATAATCTGATTCATTGCTCCAGCTAACACACTCCACACTTCTCCTGTACAGGAATTTTTCTGAAGTAGGTATTATTTCCATTTCTGAAAGTCAATTTTTCATTTATGGATTCCTATCTACAACAAACAGGAACAGCAGCAAAGGAAAAAGCTATGGGATTGTCAGCAAACATACACTTCTACTTTCTGATAATAACATGTTACTGAATCATAATGTTGCAAGATGCTTTTCTATTTTAGTATATGTGCAAGATGCACATCAACTGAATGTGTGGTTTGTTTTTTTTAATATAACTTGCTTGTACAACTGGGGGAAATTAAGAATCACAAAGCTGGCTGAGCACATCACATGCAGCAGGAAACTTACAGAAGTGAGTTTCAACCTGTAGTTCATGAAAGATAACAAGAAAAATAACCCACACACCAAACCTACCATCAGTAGGCTTATGAGCTGTTGTATGGAATTCCACCAAGGAAGGTTTAGAAGCTGAAAGCAACTGCACTATACTATACATTCTGTATTAAACAGTCAGTTCCCTAAAAGGTACTTATTAAAATGGCAACTTATTATTAACCAGATCTGTCCTCTGGATACCTTCAAGTCAAAAGCTTCCGAAACAAATAGGTTGTAGCAATTGGTAACACACTCCCAGGGTTGTTTTGGTTACGGAAATGTTATTACTGACAATGAAGCCTACAAACCTCAAGAAACTTAGCTTAATTTTTTTTTAAGCCTCAAGCTAGAATTCTACTGCTGCAAATGCATTGGTAGTGAGCATACACACATATATATATATATGAAAAGATACGTAAATTCTATGCAGAAAATCTCCCCCCATTATCTTATGCACACTTGCAAATGCACTTCAAATTCAGGTGTGCACTTTTAAGGACTATTATCTCATAGGGTTGGGTTGTTTGGGTTTTTCTTAAACCTTTACAGCAATATATATCAACAGGTATCAGTCCAACTACAAAATCACTGCAAGTTACTTCCTATTCCTCAACTCACAGCCTTTGAATAGTCCCTTACAAAAGGCAGGCATGGCAAAACAGCAGCTGAGTAATGTGCATGGTTTGGGCAGTTTGGAGGTAACTCTGCGTTTGTTTAGCTCTTAGAAAAGTTGTTTGTGCTTTTTTAAGCAACCCCAAACTGTTACTGACCAGCGATTTTGCCAGCTACCTCTTACAGCTGCTGAACACACCGCAGACAAGCACCAGATGCATCTCACATGGCGAGTTAGTGGAAAGAGGAAAAAAGTTTAAACGTCTGCGTGCTGTGACCAGCTACGCTGTTGTAAAACGAGGTATCGGCCACAGACGTGAGCAAGAGCAGACTTCTTACATCTCTTTAAAAACTTTTCTCTGAGAAATAGCGGCGTCTCCAGAGAAACCGCCGGTTCGCCCTCCTGGCCCGGGGACCCTTCCCTGGGCTCGGCCGCGCTCCCTGACACCCGCTGCGGGGCTCCCGGGGGCACCGAGCGCCGGCCCGGCCACACAGGG